ATAAGAAGCATTTACTGCATTATTTAACGCCTTACCATCATCTTAACTAAATGTATGTATAAAAATCCAGAGATTTGTTTGAGTAGATCAATAGCCAGCTCTTGAGATTTTTAGACAATCATCAATGTCATAAATTTTCAAATCAAAGATCGATATCTCTAGGTTTTTATTTGTTTTGCTAGGCTACGCGAAATGCTCAAAATTCAAATCGTTATCTATTATAAGTTTTCGATAAAAATGTATTCTACTAGAAATGTAACAACTAGTTTCCAGCAGTTTCAAATATTAACGGGCGCAAAGATAAAAAATATTCTCCGAAAAAGTAATACATTTATACAAATTCTGTTATCCATATTTGAACTTTGTAAAGTCCGCGTACATTTGAGGTGTAGAAGTTCCCTCGGTCTGCTTTGACCACTCCTCTATCCCAATAGAGTATGTATAATCATAATAACAGTCTACTGTTAAGGATAACCTCTGTTCATAACTCTCCCTCTCTCTCTCTCTCTCTCTCTTTGCGAGAGAGAATTATGAAAAGAGAAAAAGTCCAAAGTCCGTCTGTGTAACATCAGAATGTTGTTTTCTTGAATGTTCGACCTTGTTTCTTTGAAAAAAGAGAGTTAGGCGGCACAATGCAGTAATTATACTTATATCACTCAGCACATCGTTATCGAAGAGTGTATTTAGTTTTGTTTTTCTAATTATAAAGAAAACATTTTTGGAGAAGGTCAATTTGTAAAGTGAGGAATGATCATGGAATCGGTTCCGTAAGAGGGTTGCTAAGGTTGCAGCCCTTTAAAGGGAAAATAATATAACAACGTATGAAAAATTATCGATGATAACTAATCTAAGCAACCCACAGGGAGGCTTGAAACCCTTTTGCGGACCTCAGTGGCACTGGCGCTAAGGTCATCTATTTAATGTTTTACGCCAGCGTAATTTTTTTTCGGAAATTGTCAATCTTTTATATTCTATACAGTTTGTGGCGCACCTTTCGATTCAGAATCACTCTTGCATTGATTTACACTTTTCTATCCGTCTGTCCGCCTTGTGTCACTGCCTTTCATTAATATGCGGAGATATTGTGATGAAATCCGGTATGCCGGCAGGAATGGACGCTATTGAGAATGGTTTGAATCGGACCACCTTTTCGACCACTTATTCCGAAAAGTCTTTATAGAAATAACTGAATAGAGCTGTATTCGGCTATTTAATGGTGGCTTATTATAATGCTTTTACTTTTTTAAGTTAATATTAGTTAGATTCGGCTAGATTAGTTTTTTTGATGTATTATTTAAAAACATAAAGTAAAGTGAAAGTTTTCTATAAATAATCCCTCGGCATTTTTTTAACGAATGTGTATTGAAATTTGTAAGGGGGTTTCGAAGGTTGTTTCTACGCTTTATATAAGTATTGAAAAAAATTAAATTTTGATACAATACGCCTACACTGAGTAGGCGTTTTCAACTTCTTCCATTTTTGTGCATAAATGATAGAGTGTTGCCCATAGAATATGCTTTCAAATGTTTATATATTTATTAATAATGAGTAGATAATGTATGTGTTATGAGTAATGAGCAAAAAACCAGTTTTTCATTCCTTTGGAAAACAAAGATGTACTCATTTTACGTGGTGCGATTGGCGTGTCTTTCGACCGATTTGACCCATTTTCAACACCAACCTGCATGCAAAAACTTCACATGTTTCCGTCAAATTTGAAGTCGATGGCTTCATTTTTGCAGCCAAGAAAATGTTTACAACGCACATTACACAGACGGACAGAGGAACATGCTTAAATCGACGGAGAATTTCACGCTGATCAAGAATGTATATTACACTTGTGGAGCCTCTGAAATTTCCTATTGGGGTTTGCAAACTTAATAACAAATTGGGTATATCCCCTCTTTCGGCGGTAGGTATAAAAAACAAAAATAAACAAGTAAGAAAATTAAATTCAATCGGGATCGAAGCTTTTATAACCATCTTGATTTTGGCTAACGGGAGAAATTATTTAAACCATAAGGCCGCAGTAAAACGTAAACAGAATGACGCTCTGTTTCTTTAAGCAAAAAATTGTGTGTTTTTGCCTATTACTCACAAATTAATAAAGAAAGAAGGCTGAAATTTTCTACATTTTCTTTGCGGAAAACTCTACTAATTGTGTACACCGGAGAGTAAAATGAGAAATGTATGCTAAGTATGTTAAGTCTAAATTAATTATGGTGGATGTCCCGACCTTTTAGTGAATTAAAAGGTGGAAGATAAACTTTATGCGATTCGCTTTTTGATAACCATAAATAAAATCATGGGACGCTAAAAGTTTTATCGATGATCTGTATGCCAGATTCGGCTCCAGCTGAATATAGTCTTCTTACATGTTTTAAAATAATTTTAATATTTTACCATTCATAATTGTGATTAAAACCATTTTCTGGCTATTTCAACATGGCAATAATCGACAGACAGCCTTTTAAAGCAATGTTTTGGACGAACGCTTCCAAATTGACAGTAGCGAGCGGAAGAATAACCTGACGACGAAAGGAAGGGAAACGAAAGTGGAACGATTTGAAATCATGCGGTGATCAAGACTAGATTCATTAAACTGATGTTCGATAGGTATGTTAAGGTAGAACGAACAGTATGACAGAGATTTGTATAAATAAACCGTTGAAAATTTTTCTACGAGATGACGTTATTTTAATTAACTATAGACATTTGCCAAACGGTGATTTACCAATGCAAGAGCACTATCTTTAAGCTTCACGAACTAGTATAAATATAACCCAATGAAGTTTGAGGATGTTTTGGATAAGACGTGCTTTCAACTACCAAAAAAAAAGGCAAACACAGAAGGCATTACTTTTCTCGCTTATTATGCAGAAATCTTTTGCTGAATTTTGACGAGTGAGAGAAAATGGACACGACACAATATCGGTATCGCTATACTCCAATAGCGGAGATGTCATGTGAGCATTATCAATAACATCTAATTCAATTGGACCAACCACGTAACGCAAACGGGCTGCTGATCACTTCAATCCCCAGTAGGACAATGCTTGGATTCAAGTTGCAAAACCGCAGCACTGAACTGGAACGTAGTGCAATCGCCACTGTATTCGCTAGACATTTCTTCTTCTGATTAAAACTTGTCTACATCGATGATTTATTGTCTATGCAGGCGATGCTTTCATTCTTTGTGATAAATGCCAGTAATATGTTTGCTTATGTAATTAACCTCAAAAGAATAGGCTTCCTTTTGGTACAGACTTCATACCCATATTCTCCCTAAAAGATATAAAAATTTGTAGCTAACTTTGGATAAGACTGAGGAAAATATTTTGCGCCATTTTCCTGAAAAAAGTGACCTTTTCCCATGAACAAGTGATGAGGACTTATTTTTACACCTGACATACCTTACGTGCAAAAGTTGCCTATAAGTGGAATTGTTTAGGCCAGCACCTACTAGGAACAAACAAAAGTGAAGCAGTTTTCGTTGTAATTTTATACAAAAAAAAAAAAAAAAAACTTCTTTTCGCTTATTATTATGCATTTATGTACGCATGATTAGCTTTACATAGAAAAATTAAAGCTTTTAATAAAAAGCATTTTGGTTTATACATAGTATTATAATATTTTTTCAATTCTGCTCTTTTTTACTTCACTATAATTATACTTTCTTTTTTCTTTCAATTACCTCAAATTTCTTAAAATTGCATTAATTCCTATTTGTAAAAAGTATATATTAACTGAACCAACGTCTCCTCTTTTGTGTTCATAAATAATTGTTCTGTTTGAAATCTGGCAAGCCCACTCGCAAGTGTCTGTGCTTATTTTTTCTCCACCAAAATTTTGCAAATTTTGTAAAATTGTTCAATTATTGCATCAAAACTTTTTGCATACAAGAAGCAAATTCAAGATGCAAATTATTTAGAACTGAAAGTGCAGATTGTGCCTTAGAACATCTTGTTTTACTGTGGCTGGTGATCCGTTTATGTGATCTGATAATAAAGGCGCTAGCGCTCCAAGAAGTGTACCAAAAAACAAGATACACAATACCAAATACCAATACAAAAAAATAAACAATGACTATTCTTACAAGCATTGTGCCAATTGCTTAGCAACAAGTATTTTGTAGCGGTAGATAGAAGGTTACTTGCAGAGGCGCGGATAGTGAATGGGATTTTGGTTTGATTTAAAACTAAAACAATAAAGAGAAGAAGGAGTTAGCAGAAACTACACTTAAATAACAATACGATCGACCTAGGTGTGAAAACCTTATGTCCGCTAGCAACTCAAAACGACTTAGTTATAGTAACCACCATCCAAATCGACTTGATCCAGAAGTTGAAATAGTAAATACTGAGTATGCCGGCAATGAGCCGTCGTAGTTTGGGCAAGAAAATAAGTTGCAGCAAATGCACAATGCAAGTGAAAGAAGGCGAAGATGAAAATATACAGTGTCACAAGTGTTTGGAAATATATCGTGTGCTGTCTACGAAACTTAATAAACGGCAATTCAATCGTTTGTTGAATAACAATAATGACAAATTTCTCTGCCAAATGTGCAGAGGTGAGAAGTGATTTAAAAGCAATAAAAACATAACTAAATAAATTAAATCAGTAGGACATAATGTCTAAATCGATGACGTTTATTTGATGGAAATATGAAAGAATTTAGACAAAACAATAAAAGATGGAAGCAGTAGAAAAAGAAAACAAACTATTGAAAAAAAGAAGTGGATGAGTTAAAAAAGGCCGTGAAATATTTAAACCCTAATATGTTACGAAATCATTGCGCGATTAGTGGAACAGAGGTTGGTGGAAATGCAGTTGAAGCTGTGATGAAATTAATGGAGAAGCTAGATGTCCCTTTGACTGCCAATGATTTTGAAGGCGCTTATATCGTTAGAAAGAAGACTGTCGCCAAGACAAATACGGTTCGGAATGGAAGAATTTTTATTAAAATTACCGAACCCGAAAGCCCAACACCACATGCCTAAATGATTAAAAACGCTGGTGACGTGGATAAGCTTTTACTGGACTCAATCAGGGCTAGAGAAATATTTCAAGGGCAGGGAATAGGTGTAGAGGAATCCTGGAAAAAACTGAGGTAGAGGTAACTGGTAATCCTTCAGTTAATTCACCAATCTAATCGTAATAATTTTGTTTAAACTATCCATATTTTCTAGTACTTTGTAAATAATTATTTTAAATCTTTAGATTCATTTCAGATGTACTCAAACAAATTAGCTCTTGTAAAAGAATTTTGTATCTTAACGTATAATATTAGAAGCATTTCATCAATCGCGATATTTAACCGATTTAAAACTTTAGCAGCAAAATTGCCTACATTGCCTCTGTACACCAGAAACATGATTTCAGAACAATCTGATGCAACTGTACAGCGTTCCTGGTTGCAAAAGTGTATATTGCTGTAGAGATGATGAGTACGGTGAGATGTCTGTGTATGTTAAGGAAACCAGTAGCTTCTCGGTTAACGAAAATGTTAACCTTAGGGAAGCTGCACTAGTTACATTTAATAGCTGCATGTGTTTTGGAAAACTCTTAAAAGTAATATCCTATTATAGATCTCAAAAGTGTACTGGCAGGAAATTTAATAATTACATCGTTTTGATGAGTTCCCATATACATTTGACAATGACTTAAATATAAATCTCTTGGACACACAACATCACTGGATGCAATTGTGGAATCCTCCGATTTCAAGAGCTGCTACTCGTTTGTAACACGGCCTAAAAGTGGTGCTTCTATAGATTTTGTCTTCAGTAATATGCACAATAAAGTCCGAACTGTATTATAGACCATAAATATGAAATGAAAGATTCTCATGAAAACATGTTTATTCACTTTGATTATAATAAATTAAAAAAGTTCACTTGCACAAGTCGCTCGTTAGCTGCGTTATTCGGGAGTCTCTTGAGATATACATCAGAAATAATATCGTATCTATCAAAAATACATTTTCGTGTGCGACAACTCAAATATAGAAGAAAAGAGTTATAAAAAACCAAATTGCACTTTGAATAAATGCAAATCTCATATTCCTTATAAAACTGAAAAATAGGCTTCTAAACTTAAGAAGGAAAAGGGCCGGGGCAGATGTAGAAACTCGATTGAAAAGATCGAGAGAGTCGAGTCATTAAGAGTGCTATTAAGGAAGCTATGAACAATTATTACATACACAATCCCTATAAAACACGGCATGACCCTAACAAATGCCGAAAATATCTAAACTTGACCCTGGACAGAAGTCCCAAATTTGAAATAACACAGAAAGATAACAGTGGCCAATATATAATTGAGGATCTGGACAAACCAAAAAAATTTAACCAGTGTTTTATAAACTCAGTACAAAAGTTACGGGGTCAATTTGTTGACGGTACGGGCGAGAGTTGGCAGCGGTTGGTGATGTAATTTTGAAGCTAGATGCCTGTAAGGCAGCGGGGATCGATAATTTTTCGCCTAAACTGATTCCTCATTTAGTCTACATCTTTAGTGGAGCTATAAACAACTTTACTTTGCCCGAAATACATAGGGTGCAGGAAATTATATCGATACCAAACGGTTCTCATTTAGGTACTGTGGGAACTTACCGGCCAATATCTAACTTGTCCATAATTGATAAAATATTTGACAAAATATTACGTACGTTTTATAGTAAAAAAGGCTATGATAAAGCTGTAGTTAAACTAGTCAGCTTGTCTATGAATGCTTGGACAGTGGTTACTCTGATCTAGGCGGCATATTTTACGATTTTACGAAGGCATTTGACTTAATTGAAAAACTTTCTTTTTATGGCCTAAGTGAAAATGAGATTGCCTTTTTTAAGTGCTACCTTAGTAAAAGAAAGGAATTCGTTCAATAAAGTCGACCAAAAGTACCATGAAAAGTGTCCAGTGTGGAGTATCGCAAGAAAGCATGCTGGATCCACTATTATTCCTGATTTACCTGAATGATATATATAATGTTGGATTGCGTAGCGAAATATTTACGTGCGCTGACGACTTATGTGTTCTCTATCCATACAATCAAAATAATCAGTTGGAGTTGTAGGTTAATAGAGACGCTGACTTAATCGCAAACAATGCAAGACTTAACAAAGTGGTTTTGAATCCAAACGAAGCGGAATTCATCAGATTTAAGTCTTAGAAGATGAGAAATCTTAACTAGATTATTAAACTAAATGCAAGTGCGATTCATGAAGTAGTTAAAGTGAACTATGAACATTCTGTGTTGGCAAAATACTTTGCTTATTTAAACTAAGCATAAACTAAATAAGAGGGCGAAATTGTTGATATTTCAGTCTTTAATTCAAAGCAGAATAAATTATTTATATGTTGTTTATACACATAACGTAAATAATGACTTGCAACCTCTCCAAGCTGTGCGAAACAGGACACTAAAAAACATATTTAGGCTTTCAATGGCGTTTTCATCAGTACCGCTACATAAACAAGTGGCTCAAACGATTCTATTTGTATATGGGCTATATAAAATGCAGCTGTTGATATACACAAATAAATTTCTGCATAATATAGGACCGTACACAATTGAATTCGAACAAAATCGACATAACACACAGAGAATTGAGCATAAAGGTAGCTTAGAATATAGTAGTTTGCGATTATTCCTTAAAAACTCAGCATACATATCAAGTTCTAAAAGAAGACTAAAACCGTACTTATTGCAAAACATTGAAATGCTTCTAATATAGATTCCGCGTGCGATTTAGATATACTGAATAAATATGTGGAGTTAACCAAGTTGATATAAATTTTACGGAAGTAAATATTTTATTGCCAAATACCCTCAATAATGCCCATTTGGCGCTCAAGCACATTAATGTGTGCATTAATATAATATTGTAAGTTTTACGAAAATAAAAATATTTTTACGGGAAAAGGTCATATAAAACAAATATCGGGCTATTAAGTCTGTAGTCTAAATAAATAATAAAAAAAAAAATGTGAAATTACCGCTGAGCTTAAGTGTGTTCACAAACAATGCTTAGACAATGATTAACTTTATTTAAGACTTATAAACGCAGCGATCTTAACTACTAAACATTATTACAATAAAAATTTAAAACATCTACTTTACCTCGCAATTCAGGACAAATTCTGCTATAACAGTTAATTAATTCATCATCGACAGGCCGTCTAAAGAGTGAAGTGCACTTTCACGTTAAATGGAATTTTTTCCATTACTTTCAATTCTAAAATTTTTGGTTTTGAATATTACATTTTATTTGTTATCATTTCATTTCATAATCGAAAACAATAAATTATGATTGTAATAATTTAATCAAAACTGACTGTAATAGTAAATTTATTATGTACTAATATATATCGCGTGCCAACATAATCATTTCTCATGTGTTTCATGTAATGAACTGCATGCACAAACAAGTTTAAGTTTGTTTATGTATATATAGCAGAGAGTATAGCGACGGTATGTATGCATGTAAGTAAATATATCGCGCTGTGTCGTATACTGGTTATATGACACGTTAACAATATATTATTCCATAACCATATGGAAACTAGATTGTGGCAAAATTAAACTTTGGCAAATTATGGACAATGCATGCTGATGACATGGCTACGTATGTACACATGCACGTATGCAGCTACATACTTACATAGGTATTACAGAAAAAGAATCTATATGCATGTATCCGCGTGTGCATGAGCGTATGTACGCATTTGTTAATATCTAATTGAAGACCATAACAGTAAATCACTTTCCATGTTTCAAAACAAGATATATATAAGGAAAAAAGAGCAAACAGTCCAACAGATTTTCTATCTATCCAATTTAGTTATGATGACGACGAAGATGACGGTGATGATAATCATGGCAACGCTACGGATAATGATCATGATGGTGGAAATGACAATGTGGATGCGATTACGAACTACAAATATTTACGTTGGTTGTTTTTTTTTTTGTATTTTATTAGTTTATTTATTTTTTTGGGTTTACTATATGTGTATCTCTGCATGCATATAGTTTCGCGTATGCATTAAAACGTTTGAAAAGATCATGAAAATTCGATTAAAATGCCACAAAATCATTATTGGCTCAAGGCACAAAAAAAAAAAAAAAATGCCATCGTGTATATGGCAGCGAAGGGATGTTTGTGTGTTTGAATAGAAAATCATGCATAGTGTATATTTGACCGGTTTTGTTAGTGTAAAGCATTTTATTGCCTCAAACATGGGACGTTACATAAAATCATGGGCTTCATCTAAGTTAATGTGCCTCATGGTAAGAATGTAGAAAATTTTCTTGATAAGCCTTACGTGTTATTTTTTCTTGTTATTGCTGTTGTTTTTATTATTGGTGTTATATATATAAAAAAAAGACTGTTGACATTTCCCAAAGGGTGTCTACATCAGTGTTCTTAGTTGTTACATATAAAATGTATCCATATATCCGCAAGTCAAAGTTTTATCTCGTTTTTTAAAGATCCATTCAGTAGACAAGTCCAATTGGAGAATACGTTAAACGATATTGTGATCGTCATCATCAAGACAGATCATCATAAAAATACCAATATAATCATGTAACCAATCACTTAGTCAATCTGCTCAATTCAGTTTAGTTCGGTTCGTCAGTTAAGTAATGGTTTAGTCAACAAGTTAATGTTCCCAACACGTTTTTATATCAATCTGATGGTCATTATTTGTGCTCTTCTAAAGAAATAAGCGCATTTAAATGCTTACCATTCCCTTTAAATTATTGGCATAACTCTGGAAGCGTACGTAGCAACCGACAATTAAGAAAGCTTTGGGTAATTGACACTTTGCTCCTATAGGTGTACGCAGCAAATTGTGTTTTTGTATATCTGCAAAGTACATATATATAGTGTGTTTCGCTAATTATTGCTACATGAACTTTTTAATTACAACGTATTGTGTCACGAACCCGAATATTAAAGAATTTTGAGTTGTTCTGCTATGACGTATTTATTGACCTAATTTGCAGAAGTGTTTTTAATTTGACCGGGTAATTGAGCAAATTTCTTATAAGACCGTTTTACTCGATGCAAAACTTTGCACCTTTTCCCAATTATTCTCATTAGGCTGATATAATGGCTAAATATTAAGTTTTTACATGTATATTTATGGATATGAGTGCTTATTTGTATGCATGTATGTACCTCGCCTGCGTGCGCGCGCGCGTGTGTGTGTGTATGTGTGAACTCTTATTGCAACAATGATGCTGTATAATTGCATTCGATCGCTCGGTATGATTCCAATGATGAGACTTATGTTTCATGCATCTACACCGAGGATCATCTCATTCACCATGACCTGGCTGAATGTAATGTAAATGATGGTTTTGTTGCAAACAACGAACTTCATAAAATTTGCAGCTGCAACCGAGCGATAGGATTCTCTTTTACAATATATCTTAACAATTTTTAAAATATCGTCACGTTTTAGTCATTTTATTTGGCTAAGTAACAAAAGCTGCAGCAACAACAAAAAAAACAGCAATGTTCAAACATTCCGAGTAAATGTGTTCTAGACAACTGAATAAGTGAGGGCTTACGATCGCAGGAAGCACTAAACGCGTACGCACTCAGTTTACATTATCTTTAGTGAATAATTTTTGTTGCTACGGTACTGTTCTGTATGGTTCATCTTCTGTTGCATTTCGTTTATTGAACAAAATCACGGGCCTTCACCTTGAGCTTTAAGTTTCCAATAGGTTCGCAAATTTTCTCATTTCTTCAATTTTACCATTCAAAAAATTCAAATTTTCAAAAATCAATTGAGCAATTTAAGATGACTGCAATGAAGGTATTGTTGTTGTTATTGTTGTTAGGTAAACCCATTCGACTTTAAAATATAATTTTAGTAATAAAAGATAAACATTTTCAGTTCAAACTTCAACACTAACGATCGAAATAAAAAAAATTGAACAATATCTTGTAATCTATGTGATGAACATAGAAATACTCACCGTCAAGCTACCTCTTAACCGGTTACGTCTTTTATTAATTTTGAGAACTAAGGCCTTGAAGATCGTTTTTCTTAGATGCCTTAGAGAACAGTATTCTTGAGGTTGCTTTAACGATAAGATTTAAAAAAAGAAAAATTGAAAACTGAATTTTTGGTAAGTCTCCAAGATGCAAATTTTTGATTAAATCTCTTCCACGTTTTGATAAAATAGTGAATTTTCAATATTCTATAGCACTGGATAGGCGTGGTCAATTCCGTTGATCTTTGTGCAAATGTTGCAGGACCACCCATAGAATATAAATGCAAACGTACCTGTTGTGGTTATAAGTAGCAAGCAAAAAAACATATTTTTTCTTATTTATGAAGACAGAAATGATCTCAGATTATGTTGCGCTGCGGTCATGTTTGTTGACTCCGATTTGGCTCAACTTCAATGTTAATATGGAAGAAGTTCCAATCTTTTTAACAAATTTAAGCCGGTTGATGCGTTTTTGCAACCAGGAGATTGATAACCACAAATAATGCAAACCGACAGGCAGACAGATAGAAAGACGGACTTTATTTTCATACGTAAACATCCCCATAACAATAATTATTTTCTTTTTTTATACGTACCACCGAACATTGAGTATATGTTGAGACGAAGCCTTAACAGATCCTACAAAGTATATATAAAAACTTAGTCGGTATTAAATTCTGAGTCCATGTAGGCGTCTCTGTCGTTCCGGTTATCTATTTATATATCTATCTATGCTAAAAGTTCTCCGGATAGCACAAGTTAAGATATCGACTTAAAAATTTGGCAAGAACCTTGACAGTTTTTGCAGAGAGGTTAGCTTGAAAATTCGCCAAATCGACCAAATAACGCGCCCACAATACAACATAAACTGAGAATAGCAAAAGACATGACTTTTTACGCCTAATTGTTAAACTGCCACAGATATGGCGACACAAATTTCCACGTAGATTGCACGGGTGATCCTAAAGCACTTGTGCAAAAATGGAAAACCGCCCATGCCATTGATGGGTATAGAAGATTTCGCCACGGCTGAATGTACTATTCTTAATTGTTTATTTTTCATATAAATACACTACAACAAGTAAAAGCAATGTACTGGGCCACGGCTCGCCTTTAAATATGTTATGCCACTTTACAGGTATTCATCTAACGTTATATGGGGGGACATTTGACATCGACTTGTGTTCTGAGTAGTGCGTGTTTTGTTTTTCGTCTGCGATTTTTTAATTGTTTTCGGTGTTTTTGTGTGTTTAACTCGTGTGTTTTCTGTGGTTTTGAAAAAACTGCTTACCGCAGATACGCACTTTTCCACTCATCATACATTTTCACATATTCATTTAACTTGTTGCTCTCCCTCACTTCTTCCTTTGGTTTCCTGGTCTATTTCTGATGATCTACATAATAGTGATCACTTTCCAATCGATCTTAAACTTTCAATGTCCTCTGTTACTCCAGCAAAACAGGCCAAATTTCTCCTAGATAAAGCGGATTGGATCAATTACTCCAAACAGGTGGAGTCATTTTTGAATTCAAAGTCATTTAACGGAAAATAAAATGAATCATGATCATTTGCTATTATACAAAAAGGCCAATGCTCTATTCAGGAAGGAATTACAAAGATCAAAGGCATTTAGTTTCGAACTTTTTTCGAAAAGAATTCACAGAAATATATCAATGAAAGTTGTTTGGAACAAAATCAGCGGATACAATGGGTCTTCAAACCTGAACGAAATTTCTGCCATCTGCACTCCCAATGGAACTTTAACTGACGCACATGATATTTATAATTACTTTGGACAAATGTGGTGCGAGTACTCCTCTGACAGCAACTTTTCCAGTGCTTTCATCGAAAATAAAAGGACTCCAATTACTCTTTCAAATTGTATTGACAGATGTGCCACCTTCTTGGTAAATTGCATGTCTACCTTAGAAATTGAAAGTTGTCTCTCCAACTCGAAGGGGAGGACACCTGGTCTAGACCGCATCTCATACCAAATGATCAGTGCGTTGTCTAATTCAAATAAAAAGAAATTCCTGGACCTATATAATACGGTATTTTTGACTAGCCATATACCCTACATGTGGAAACTGGCAGCAGTTGCTCCAATTCTAAAGTCTAAACATGTCTCCATCGAATCGGATTATCGCCCAATCTCTCTTTTATCTTGCCTCTCAAAGGTGTTGGAAAAGATTATGACATCTCAATTATCTTGGTTTCTTGAGTCCATGAACCTGATAATAAAGCAACAAGTTGGTTTCAAGCGGGGTAGAGGGTGCATCGACGCTCTGTTACACATTGATTACTTTACAAGCAAAGCAATTTTCGAACGAAATCACGTAACAATTCTCTCAATTGATTTCGAAAAGGCATTTGACAGAGTTGGTCTTCATGTTATTTTGAGACTCTTGAAATCATGGAATGTTGGACCCAAATTTTTCAACTACATCAAATCATTCATGTCGCATCGGCGGTTTAAAATTAGAATCAACAATCATGTCTCTGATTCCTTTCCGCTAATGAATGGCATTCCGCAAGGATCTCCTCTTTCTGTCACGCTTTTCCAGATCGCCTCTAACGAAATTAGTAAAATTCTTTGCCGTGTACCCAGATTGGAACATTGTCTCTACGGGGACGATGTATACATTTTTACAAAAGAAAACGGTAGCACGAAGGCAATCAGCGTCCTCGAATCTATTGGACGAGAGATCTCCGCTTGGGCAAACTCGCCGGGGGCTAAAATTTCTATACGAAAATCTAAAAAAATGCACATTTGTCGATATGCGATGCAGGAAATTCACTGATGCATATTAATGGCTTACCAGTACTAAACGTGCAGACGCTGCATATTCTCGGGCTCACTTTTTCCAACAAATATCATTGGAAAGCACACTGTCTTCGGTTAAAAAATTCTATTTTAACAAGGGTGAATTTCATACAGTACGTTGCTTGGAGAAGCCATGCGCATATTAACACTATTGCTTATCTTACCAAAATTCTTGTGTTAAGCAAGATTGACTATGCTTTGATAATTTATGGCAATAGCTGCAAATATAATACCAACATTCTTAACCCGGTCTATCACCAAGCCGTCAGAGCAAGTTGTTACGCGTTTCGGACGACGCCCATAAATAATATTATAATTGAAACTGGTCTCCCAACTTTAGAATATAGACTTTATGAGTTAAAAGCTAAAATAGTCCCCAAGCTTCTTAATTCAAACAAATCTATTCTCGGTGATGACATGAAAAAGATTATTATTGCGAAGAAAATTCCAAAGTCACCATCTGCAATTGACTATTGTTTGTTCGTCGCAAAGGAATTGAATATTCCCTTAAAAATATTCCGCTCTTTTGGTATTAAACCTCCATGGATTTTGAAAGACTGCTCTTTTGACATCTCACTGTCTGTGCATAAAAAAGAAGATACTCCAAATTACATCTTCAGGAATCTAATAGCTGAAAAAGCCCAAGTATTGGAGAGTACTGGTTGAAATCTTTTATAAACAGACGACTCAAAATCTTCTGGTCTACCTCCTGGTTGTGCCGTGGTAGATGCTACAGGACGGGTTGTTCTCAACCACATATTTCACGAAAGTACTTCAACTTTCACAACCGAAGCCAGAGCTATCCTTCACACTGCGAACCTTGCGCACAAAAATAAACTTAAAACCGTTATTGTTACCGACAATTTGTCTTTATTACAAACTATTCGGAATCCTTCGACTTCGAGATGGAGCACCATCAACAAATTAAGGAATATAATTACAACACCGAAGGAAAAATTAAATTGTTATGGGTACCAAGTCACATCGGTTTATTGGGAAATGAGCAGGCTGATCGAGCGGCAAAAGATACTGCTTCTGCTGCTCTAATTATGGATGATGTCATGGAAAGTTGGATCTTCAAAGATACATTGGAAGAAAAGTTTAAGAGAAAATTGCAGAAGGAAATTTACAATACCATCTTCAACACTACTCTTCTATTAACCCTCAATTAACTCCACCTTTATATCCAACAACTGTTGAGAAAACCAAGATCTAAACATTTTCGAGAATTCGCCTTGGTCGTACAATTGCAACTCACCAATGGATCTTGAAGAAGTCTTCCTCCCCAGTCTGCACTTGTGGACAAACTCTCACTATAAAGCACATTCTCTGCGACTGCCGTAAGTTTTTCTTAGCTAGAAGTATTGCATTTGAAACGACTAACCCTTTGGACATTCTAAAATCAGCTTCAGAACCGAATATCAATTCTATACATTACTTTATTAATACTACTAAGCTTATTATCTAATATCCATTTATTTAAATTAGAGCCGATAGCCTGTGTTGCTAGTGCTCAATGTCTTTTTTTTAGTCTAAGAATTTATTTCATTAGTCTAAAATTATAATAATAATAATAATATATGGGGGGAAGTGGTCAAAAAGGTGATTTCAAGCGAAGCATTTTCAATGGCGTTTGACCGTACGTCAAAAGATGGGAGTTTATCAAATTTCATCAAAAATCTCAAAAATTGCGGCTTTAGGTTGAGCACAAGAAAATAACTTCCATAGAGAGACACACAAACTTAAATGATTTTCTAAATCGATTGGCATAATAAACGTTACGTCTATATTCCTGAGGCTTGCATACGTTCATACAAACTAAATACACATTTGTATTACAAGTGGTGTGGGGTATAAGCAGACATGGTTCGTGCACAAGACTTTAACCTACACTTAATAACCGGTATTGGATTAGATTTACTGAAAATAGTAAAAGTCCAGTGTAATAATGGGCGAATATAACATAAAGTTGGTAGAACGAAATGACTGCATCTACAGAAGTTGTCAAGATTCACCATAAAGTGTAAACAAAAATGGTATTTAAAGCGGGACCTTTTCATTGCCTTTTTAAACATTTCATTCAATCCTGTTAATTAAAATGTTATCTTCACCATCTTTCAATACACCTTCCACGTTTATGTTCTATTTTATTTCCCCTAAAGCCTGTCAACATTTGAAATTCTTTAGCAAAAATCAATAAGGAAAAAGAAAATGAATAAATGAAACTGAAATATAAAGAAAAATAATCCTTCAGCATGTTTGGAAAGACAGACAATACTTTTGCTCTTATCCTAAATCAATGTGCACTTTGAAGTACTTGAGGCTTATGATTTAATTGTCGTACTTTCTCTTCTGTGCTGAACGTATTTTTTCAATGCTAATGCAAATTGCACATACAAACAAACATTAAATAATTATGTATACAATACATAACTAAAACCCTTTTTTCCATTTTAACAAAAAAGGGGAAAAATGATATTCTATTATTGTTTATTTTTTTGCAGAACGCAATCGTAACAATAATGGCGCGTCGTCCTTAACTGAAGTAACGTCATCAAGTACACAGCATAGTAGATTTGCAACATTAAATTGTTTCAACATTGAAGACGACCATTTATTTACGAATCGGCTTTTGTGTCGAACCCCACCACCAACTTATCGTTCATATCCAGCTACACCTCCTCCCTCCTATACACCAAGACTCGTAAGCAATGAACAACAACCGTCACCATTAAACCAACACCAAGTACCGGAAGTGCTTGTTGGGCTTAATCAGGAAGAGAGCCGAAGACAACAAGAGCACGAGTACGAACACGTTGATTTTGAAGAAACGGCGGATATTACAAATTTTGAGTTTCACGGGCAAAGGCAAGTAGATGTGGCTGATGGAACGTCAGTATGGCGAAATGTGGCAACAGTGTCACAACAACAGCAACAAAGGCGAAGAAAATTACGTCATCGTAGAGTGCAATTACTACACCAGCAACAACAACTACAACGGCAACATTCATCCTTTATCAATCGGCACACAGCAACGGACACCGAAAATTCTACCAGTAGTAGCAGCGAAAGTGACAGTGAAATTAATTCGCGTCATCACAGGGAGCAACGAAGACATCCCCATCGACAGCGTTTATCTGGCTTAAAAGGTAAATGAATAAACTTTATAAAATCTGTTCGAAAAGAGTTGGAAAAAATTACAGAGTTTTCTTTCCTTAAATTTAATTTTCGGGCTTCAGATGCGTATGGCCCTGACTTGCTAAACGCTTGTTCTCTATTATTAACAACCCTACAATCAAGCAGTGATTCCACAGTTGATAATTTTACAGTCACACCGTCCCCATTGCATGAAATATTAAACGAAACGTCCAATTATGCGGAAATTGTTGGGGTTAATACAGCTAGGCGGCGAGGAGGTCCACGAGAGGCCCATAGTTCTCCAGTATTGTTGGAGGGGAATTATTTAAATAGCAATAGAACACAAGGAATACCAAACCAAAGATTATCACAAAACTCTGGGGAAATGGGTCAGAATTTAAGTCTGAGGAGGCCACGCATATCGTTAACTTGGGTTTTACGAGATCAACAACCGCAAAAACAACACCAGACACAAGACCAAATAGATGAACAGACTAAAGAAGGTATAAATGATAATATGATTGAAAGCAATAAACCGCAAAATAATAATCAATTGCAAACGAAGTCTAAATCAGTCAACAGTACAAATGCTGCGCAATGGGCTGACTTGACATGTCACAAGAAACGCTATCGTTTAAAGCAATTGCCTTCGAATAACGAGGTTCTCAGCGGTTATGCTACGACTCCCACGACCCATGCAGGCATTAATTTGAGTTCGCAGAAATTTTTCAGTAATCAAAATCTTTTAGAATATCATAAAGAGGAAGTGCATACCAAACCACCGTCCAAAGATTTATTATTTGTGTGTACGCCCCAACATGCCCCTGATAAATTTGGCGGTTCGCCGGATGCCTTGGCTTTGACAAAGAAACGTAATGAAATACGCAAAAAATTGGCGAGCAAAATGGCAAATTTTAGATCAGAGACCGCAACACCGAAGCATATGGCGAAAAGTATCACCAAATCAATCACAACCACGAATGGTGGATTTTTGTTGAGAAGAGAGCCGAGATCGTCTCTTAAAGCCAACTCGTACTCAGAACCCAGCTTACTAGCAGCTTCTGAAGGTAATCCGCGTAGACATCGTCATCGTAAACGAAGAGAACGTAATCGTTGTCAAAAATTCGGTTACGATATTCGAAATGTTGATGAATTTCTCACAAGATGTTCATTATCTACGCCAGCGAATATTCCCATGGTACTGTCTACCTCATGTACGCTTTACCAAACCAGACCAGGAGGCTATCAAACCGAATTATCTTTGCCTCTGGGAATGGTAGTAAATGCTGTGTTCAAAAATCAAAATTGGTTGTACGTTCAAACGCCTCATGCCGAAGAGGGTTACGTTAGCTGCAACTGTTGCTTACCTTTGGGAATTTTACCACCTGAGGCTAGAGGAGAAGGAGTTGGCAGTGCTAAACCAACACCATGCTGGGAATCTAACGGTGATATATTCCCAAAACCGTGTGGCAATATGACAGATTCGGAAAAAGAATTGCATTTACTTGGCGGCGGTGGCGGTAGTGCACGTAGTGAAGGTGCTCGTACGCCACACTTGAGAGCTTTGTCGATGGATAACAAAAGCGTTGTGATATCAGTGAAAATGAATCACGTTGATAGACCCAACGATAACCCAGTGTGTGATGGTGAACATCAGGTCGATAAATTGTATTTGAAAGCGGCATCGCAACCCAAGCTAAATGAAAGGCCAGCATACGCGCAATTGAAAGTATTAAAAACCGCACAAATTTATAATAAACCAAATCCAATTAATGATGAATATATAACACTGCAACAACAACATCAACGACAAGCACATAAACCTGTTCAAAAGCATGTTCATCAAATCACCCCGAAAACATATATTAGCCGAACTTTTATAACCAACGGACATAATGGTCAACACTTGCACCCCAAAGATATGAATTTAGTAACAGTCACAACAACAGGAACCACAACCACGACAACTGCAGCAGTAGCAACGACGACAGCGATTACAACGACAAAATCGATGGCGGTAACAATAATACAAAAACAACACCAACAACTACAACAAGATGCATGTAATCTTAACTCACAACCTAGCTCTAAAATTACTATCACATCTCATAATAATCAGCATCATCATACAGCTCATAGTCTGACTCAAATGAACCAGCAACAACAACATCATCATGAACAATCGCAGTTTAATCATGTGAATGCCAATAGTCATCAGTATTACCATCGCACTATACTGAACGCATTGCGACGTTCAACAGCACATTGCGGTCAACGTCAAACATTGGTGGCCATCACCACTAGCTACACTACAGCTGACGGTCTAAGCTTACAAAAAGGTGATATTGTTACATTGTGCGAGTGTCGCGAGACCAAAGATCATCGCCAGTGGTTTTATGTGAGAACGCGTGACGGCCGTCAGGGTTATATACCGGCCGAAGTGGCCGGTCATGGTTATTTGTAAGTACAAGCATAAAAGAAAAAGCAAGCAAAAATTAAATACGAAGTGAGTTAATTGTTATGTATGAAACAAAATATAAACGGAAGGGCGAAAGTCGTTAGCAAAGAGGAAAAACATTTTATAGAACTTAGCATAGACAAGAACATGAGCTTAAAAAACTTTAAGAAAATAGATTTTTTGCTTTTTTATAAGTACCAAACATTTTACAAACTGTGTTTTAAGCGCTTTATGTCTCTCATGTATTTTATGACAACTTATTTAAAATTAGAATCAACCGCGTAAAAAAAAGAAGAGAAAGAAGATCAATGTTTTTTTATATCCATTACCGAAAGATAAGGGGTATATTCATTTTGTCAAAACGTTTGCAACGCCCAGAAGGTAGCATCAAAGACCCCATAAAATACATATATTCTAAGATCTGAGAACATCTTGGTTTTTCAAAGGGTATCAAAAATTAGTTTCTTGCTCATTATTCATAAACTATACCAAATAAATGTACAAAAGTTTGAACGCATATTGTATGGGCAACACTGTTGCATTTGTATACAAAAATGGAAAAAATTAACCGTATCTGCCCAGTGTAGGCTTAGTGTATTAAAATTTAATTTTTTTTCGATACCTTTATAAGGCGCAGAAACAAACGTCAAAAGTCCCATAAAGTATATAAATTCTTGACCAGTTTCGCAGCACTTAAATATCTCCGTCTGTCCATCTGCCTGTCTGCGCAGCTGTGTAGTATTTGCGGTAAACATTCTTCCGTTAATGAAAATGAATACCTCAACTTTAAAAAAACACGCCTCTAACGCCCATACATCTATTCGACAACTTTTATTTTGAATATAGAAAAAATCAGACGCGCGCACTTCATATAGAGCAGGAAAATGTTGATGTTTTATATTTTTATCTTTTTTTGGATAACGGATGCGTATAAAAGATTCGGCCACAACCGAATATAATTTTTTTAGTTTTTTCTTTTTTGTTATTATGCGAAAGTATAATAGATAATGAAGCGACTCTTTTTAAATCTTATTTCAACTGTTAATTAATAAACGTTTTATTGTACATTAACATACAAAAACGATGAATAATAAAAACTCGATAAGAATCAAAGCAATTAAATTTTGATTAAAATCTAGATATTACCGATAAGCGTGTATTTATGTTGATTATAAATATTCTAATCGTTTAGTCTTAGAAACAAATCTTTAACAAAATAAAATTTCATAAAATATAATAAAAATTTTCGACGAATACTTAAAAACAAAGATATTTTCTTTTGCCTATAAAAAGTCAAATATAAAGTATCTTTTCAACTTTTTTTTTCTTTCAGATAAATATCTAAGGATACTTAATCCTTTTTAAGATTATCGCCTTAGTGTCTATATAAACAGTAAAGGCGGCACGGCACAGAAATGGTAATAAAAAAGTTGAAGGATGCGCAGCTTTAAAGCTTAAAGCACATTTAGAATTATTTTGAAACAGTATTAAGTACGGACATGGTGAGCGATTATGTTTGACGTTCAATTCTTTCAAACATTGCTCAGTTTCTTAGCTTTTTGGAAACCTAGAGATTATCAAAAGTATTCATCCCAAAGCTTATAAAATATATATATTTTACACACCGGACTTTATCCATCCCTCTGATCATTGTTCAAACCTTTTGAAGAATTCTCTTGATCACAAAGCAGAAATTGAAATACGAACAGTACTTCCCGAAAAGAGTTTAAAAATTTTCTGCCAAGGTCCTATTTATCACTGGGAACAAAAAAAACCTGAAACGACTTTAAAAAAAAAAGTAAAAATATTATATTCGGTAGTGACGAAATATTTTGTACCCATTGGCGTTACCATAAAATAGACTCAACAAAAATTAGTATTCATACCTGTAAGGAAGCGTTTTGCTTCCTTCCGCACAAATGTCTATCCGTAGACCCCACGCAGTTAGTCTGGTTTGTCCGTTCACACGTCATTTTACTGGACGCGATCATTGTTCTCCCGCACAAATACACAAAACAGAAACTCACAAAATTTGCACAAAGGTACAAACTCTGGAAAAACGATAGAAAACGTCAAATGTATAACCAACTAAAGAAATGTATACGAATGTATGAAATGATACCTAGTGATAACTGCATAAAACGCGTAAATATAGTAGAACATGTAGAAATGTAATTGTTTTGCTGAAGAAGGCATATTGTGAACACATACCTAACGGTTAGCATTTTACAATTGAAATTAGCAATATTAATAAAACAAAAAAAAAAAAGAATAGCGACAGGAAAGAAAACCAACAAGATAGCTATGATGCATAGCACATGAAGACATGCAGGCTAACGGGTAGCAAAACATACGATTTAGTGCCTGAGTCGGCACTCACAACAAGATCATACGAGCTGTTACGTAAGGTAGTATTAATGCTAAGACATACGTAAGAACAGGTTCGATCAAACCTAAGTTAGCACACGTAAAGATAGATATGTAAGAATAACATTGTAACATAGATGCAGGCAAACCTTCTCGATCAAACCTAAAATAGCATACGCCAGATTAGATGGATAAGAATATCATCACATACACATGTAAGTGAGTATAGACTAGAACATGCATGTAACGGTGATCACGACTATAAAAGAACGTGTCGCACCACGCTCTGCCTTTCAATTGTGTCGTAACTGCCGGAGCAGCACACCTCAATTCAGAGGTATGACCATGGATGATAACCCGGACACCAACGAGCGTACGCCTGAGCGTCCCGAATCCCCGGAGCTGCGCGTTAAAAGGTCATCTGTAGTAGCGAACGTAACCATAGGTGGACTGTTGGTCAAAGGTGCGATTGATACTGGAGCAACTAGAACTATAACCAAGTCTAGCCTACAAGATGCTATACCGTTCGTACCAAAGGCACACAACATATGCACGACAATCCTTACGGCCGACGGGACATTACGGTACAGTCATCGAGAAGTCATGACCACGGTCAGCATAGGGGAAACTCACTTTCAGTTACCGTTGATAGTCCTAGACGACGTTGTCGATAATCTCGCTCTAGGCATGGATTTCTTGACCAAAGCACAGGCGACATTAGTTATCGAAGAAAGGGCAATGCAATTTGGTAACGCAGCACAACAACCCAGAGAGTCATGATAAAACTAGCCCAACCCGGCTCATGGCAGCACTGAAGTGAGAGGTGCAGCCTCAAACTCCGCGGTTGAAACCAAACACGACGCTTCCATCAAACAAGCTCCAAAGAAAAGAAGAGACAACGCGCTCCGCACCCACGTGGATCCCCCGAAAGAACAGCGCATCAAGAAAATTCACCCGCAATGACATTAGAGATAAGTTTAAACACATTGATCTCTCAGAGAAGTTTCCACACTCCAGGTCTGCCGTAACTTCAAACACGTGTCACACAAATATTACGTCTTTTCCGGACAGAAATCCAGACGCACCGTCAGGACCGACCGCAGACGTCGAAGAATTCTTACGAACAGAGTTTGCGGCTTTTGATAACATGCGCGGTATAACTAGTATAACAAGCCACCAAATAAGAATGAAGGACGACATACCAATAAAACTTCGATATCATCGCAAAAATCCAGCTATGCAGGAGATAATTAATCGAGAGGTCGTCCAACTTCTCCAAAACGGGTATATTGAACGATCGAACAGTCCCTACAGCGCACCCATAGTATTAGTTCCGAAAAGAAACGGAGAATGAAGGCTCTGTATTGACTATCGCATCCTGAACCGTAGGTCAATACCAGATGCCTACCCACTATCCAAAATAAAACATATCCCGGATAAATGGCGCGAAGCAAAATGTATTAGCACTATTGACTTGAAAAATGGATATTGGTAGATCCCGATGGACCCCCATAGTAAGCAATATACCGCACCGGGGCGCGGTTTATACCAGTGGCGCGTTATGCCCTTCGGGTTACGCTCGGCACCAGCAACCTTTGGAGATAATCATCAGCCCTGAATTGGAACCATTCACCCTCGCATATCTCGATGCAATCATTGTGATCAGTAAGACTGTCCGGGAGAATACCAAACATCTCAAGCAAGTATTTCAACTGCTGCGAAACGCTAAGTTACGTATCAATCAGGATAAATGTCACTTCTTCAAGAAAGAATTAAAGTACCTAGGACATCTGGTAACTGGAATTAGCACTGATCAAGAACATTCATCAAGAACATCAAGCCACCAAACAATATCAAAGAGTTGAGACGCTGCCTAGGCACACCCTCAAAGTATCGGAGATTCATCCAAGATTATACCGATATTACAAGCCCATTAAACACACCATCTATCAAACGCACTAGAGAATTTCGCCGCCAAGCTGGCATCAAAATACGATCGTCCATATATAGTAAGTGGATTCAAGTCCCCAGTTATCTTGATCGTAAAGAGCCTGAATGGAAAAACCGAAAAGAGAGTGCATGAGAGCGAAGTTAAAATTTTTCACAAGCAAGACAATCCTCATTACAGCGAAACAGCCAAACAGGAAAGCCCATGAAACCCTTCCTACATCGAGCATCGAAGCATCGAGCAATGATACGACGATAGTCGTATTGCACCACCCACCAGATGTCAAGTACCAACAACGGGAAGCCGTCGAATAGTTTAAGCACCGGGAGTGCAGTGACGCACCAGATGCAGTTACTATCCAGAAAAAGGAATAAGAATACACGCTGTGGGAAAAAAAGAAGAACATTGAAAATAAAGAAGAAAGGAAGGAAAGGAAAGAAAATACAAAAAAATTATATAGAAAACATATACCTTAAAAAAAAAAAAAAAATTAAACAGGAAATTACGAAAAAAAAGAGAAGAAAAATAAAAAAAAGAACAACAGAAACACAAGTTGCCCAACAAAAGTGCAGAGTTAGAGACAACCACGAGCAAAGAACTACAAAGTGTTACTACGCGAGAAAATACTACAATCACGATCCCGGCGTCCAGGAAAACTAACAAGAACAAAAAGGATAAGAAGTATCTAAATTACAAATCCAAAGCAGACAAAAACAACGGCAATAGCTCTAAAAATAATATTAACAACAGAGGGCTTGTTTGTATTATCGCCCGAAGCAAGGGCAATTTAACAAGTTAGCATTACCGTCACTTACATCTCTAATGTTAGCGACGTTACCACCGCTACGTTACCACCACCAATATGGAGCGTACGAGCGATCCATCAAAACAAGCATACATCTGGCACAATCAAGCAGATAAATGGTAACCGCTGGTCGAGGATGACCCAACTAAAAACCGTTTGCAGCATATATATAGGGCGGTGAGCCGCCTAGGAAAAAAGTCAGAAAAATTCTAAAGAAAATACCAAAAAAAAACAAGAAAATTCTTGCGAATGTATATATTGGAAAAGAAGTATCGGGAAAAAAAAAACCTAAAAAAAAAGGAAAACTTACTAAAGAAAATAAAAAAAAATGTGGAGAAAATCTTTCAAAAGGCTCACATTAGGGAAAAAGGGAAAAAAACACAAAGAAAATCAAAGAGAATACAAAAAAAACATTGGGGAAAAACTATGGACAAAGAAGAAAATATTAACAAAAAAAAAAGAGAACATGGGCAAAAGCTTGCGAAAAGCATATATTTAAAACAAAAGATAAGATGAACGGCAACCTCCAGCGGCAAATACAGCCTCAACACCTCACATCACCCACAGCAGATAACTCGTCAGCAACAAGTGCAGCCTCAACACGTCACATCCCTAAAACCAGGTAAATCATCAGCAGCAGTAATTGCAGCAGCAGTAACATCAGCGTCACGGTCAGCAGTGACCGCCACATCACCACCAAGCCCAACAGCTGCGGTAATAGCATCATCAGCCCTCACTCGCCGTTGGAAGAAAAATATATATACACCCCAGAGCGAAAATGTATAAAAGTAAGTCGTAGGGGCCGGTAGCATGATTTCTGGGCGGGGCAGTGATTTCGTACAGTCCCAAGGCGTGGGGGTCAGTCCGCGTCTTCACTCTCTCCCGAAGCGAGGGGGAGAGGTAAGCAAGCGTTTTGCTTCCTTACTGTTAACAAGTCCGTCCGCACAAATGTTCACTCGTAGACCCCACGCAGTCAGTCTGGTTTGTCCGTTCACATGTGTTTTTACTGAACACGATCATCCTTCTTCCGCACAAAATACCAAAACATAAACTCTCAAAATTTGCACAAAGGTACAAACTCGAAAAACGATAGGAAACGTCAGATGTATAACCCGCTAAAGAAATGTATACGAATGTATGAAATGATACCTAGTGATAGCTGCATAAAATGCGTAAATATAGTAGAACATAATTGTGAGTATGAACATGTAAGTGAGTATAGGCTAGAACATACATGTAACGGGACAAGGCTGGTGATCACGACTATAAAAGAGCGTGTCACACCACGATCAGCCTTGTGTCATAGCAGCCGAAGGTAAATGATCACGGACTTAACTAGTTAACTTTTACTGAATGGGGTTTTTTGACCATTACGAATACGGGATGACAGGTGTGGCTTTGCCGTGATCCCTGAAAGAATAATAGGATTGTTGACCATCACGGATAGGGGATGACAGGTGTGGCTTCGCCGTCATCCTTGAACCAATAATAGGACTGTTGACCATTACGGATAGAGAGTGACAAGTGGGGCTTCGCCGTCATCCCTGAATAACCAATGAACACTCAAGTCTTGCGAGATAAACCCATTAGGAACTGAAGTGGGGCCCTGTAGGCCCAGGTTGGTTGCTATGACACCCGCGGCGCACTCTTCTCCTTACGGAAACTCGCGGTACTGAAACGTGAAAGAGAAAGTACAGTAATAATCGGGAACAAATAAGAAGTATTAAAACGTTAAGGTCGGATCACCACGCTGGTTTTTCCGCCTACGCCTCTTAAAATTCGCGTGAATATTATAATCTTCCCGTAAATAAATAAATAAATAGAAACTAAGAACAAACCCGAAGGTCCAAGTAAATTTTACTCTATAAATATTCTTGGAAAGAGTCCTGGATTGGCTGAACTTACCCCGCCAAAAAGACTCGTTACATACTATATAATACCGGGTAAGCATAACTGATTTTTAAAATTTTTGTAGAATAAAAGTGGAAATTTATATTGCGTACCTCCCATCGTTTGAGTCATGAGCAAAATGCATGAAGTCCAATTTTATTGCATTGTAGGCGTGTCCTTTAACTGGTTTATGCGATTTTTAAATTCTTTTGTTAAATTTTAACGTGATATCTTTACTTCCACGAACAGGAGAATGTTTACCTCAAATACAAACAGTTTGCAAGATGGACAGACAGATAGCGGACATTCTTAGCAGCGTTCCCAATTTGGCTTTGATCAACAATGCTTGCTTTTGAGCGTTATAAAAATTCTCACGAAAAAAATAAATTGTAGTCCGTTATAATATAGAGTGGGCGAGACCGACGCAGTTTGTGAGTAATGAGCAAAAGACAAATTTTATTTCTTCCGGAAAACAAAGGTGTTCTTAGTTCACGTAATGCTGTAGAAGGAGCGTCCATCGATTTAGTCCATTTTCAATACCAACCAGCGTGCAAGAACTTCCAATGTTTGTGCAAATTTAAAGGCGATAACTCCTTTTTGCAGCCATAAGAGTATTTACAGCAGACGTTACGCAGATAGAGAGACTGACAGGCGGATATACTTAAATCGACTTACTTAAATCGACTATACTTTATGAAGTCTCTGAAGGCTCCTTCTGGGTTGTACGAACGTTTTGCTAAGATGAATATATTCCTCATGCTTCAGTAGCGGGTATAAAAATTGCAAATGTTTACTTCAATGGAAGATAAGCCGTCGTAAATATAATAACATATTTATATAATATAATTATCTTCTGTAATATACAACATATTAATAATTTTCATTAAGAGCGCTCCGTGCAAGTTTGGTGATAAATATCTTAATACTGCTTGGTACGGTGTAACGTTTTAACGAAAAAACACATGCCGGGCATATTCAATTTCAAAAAATTCAAGGTAAGTTTTAGTTTTCAATACCAGTTCTCATTTTGAGTCTTCTAACAACAAACAGACGGATAGACCGATTTAACGAAATTCACTACGAATTTCATGTCAATGAAATTCTTCGCATTGTATAGCGATATATCAATTATCTGATATAGCCTGATCCGTGCATAAAAATGAAATAGTGTGGTTTTCATACAGTATCACATTTCACTGCAACTTATTGTTTGACTTAATTTTAGTAATCTAATCTAATGTATAACCCAGTGTGGGCCGAGTTAATAGTAGAATGCATTTTTAATATATGAATTTGAGTAATCACCTCTTTTACGACAAAAGATTTCTTATCTCTATGAAATAGATTTCTTTTTTCATTTAATACAAATATTTAACTTCTTATCATACCTTAAGCAGACTTTTTTAAACTTATCCGCTTACTAGCTGCGATCGATCATAACTATATTGTAACTGTATTGTCTTGTATGGCTTGATTGTTGATCTGCGCACTATGAAAACTTTACGGTTGAAAACGTTGGCTAGGTTTACTTCGTACCTTTTAACTCATCGAGATGAAGTTTTCAATTCAAGAAAATGAAAGAAAAGGACAGAAGTCTTTATGGGAATATATTCAAAATATGAATAGCGTATACAAAATGTTCAAATTTACGATGGAAGCCTCAGGTTACACTTATCAAAAGCGGAATTGATACGTCTCAGTTTATGTAATCTAATTTGAAGAGAAAGTATTTTGTAAATATTTTTTTAATATTATTATTTTTTTTATTCATTTATATATTTTCTTTAAAAATTTCAACATAATTTCGGACTCGTTTAAAGATTCGCTTTATTATAAACTATATTTTAATGGTTTATAGAAATATTATCAGTAAAATGGAGCAAACTATCTTGCTTGCTTGAGCAGTGATTTGCACAAAAATATTAAAGTAATATTCAAAGGCAATAATAATAAATAAAATTTTAAACTTAAATAATAAGAAAAAAATTAAGATAAATGCTTCATATTAATCGTTCATATTATTAGAAAGTAATTATTTTTAAAATTTGGCAAACCTTCCTTCTCAATTTTTGTTGTTTTTTGTTTTTTTTTTTTATTACATACTCTTAATATGAAACAATAACTACATGCAATTAGCAATAATAATCGTTATTATTGTAAGGGTTGAAATTTTACGAAATACTTTAAGGCTCTAAAAATATAATTTTTGTTTGTATATAAGTTTTACTAAACATTAAAAGGGCTCTCACTCAAAGCTTACATGATACATGTTTACATATATGCATGCGAATGCACAAAATAATGCTACATAATATAAGAAAAAGATTTCTTATGGATTATTCTTTTCTGTTTTAAATATATATATATATATATGTTTTTTTTAAGTAAAAGAAGTAAATAATATGAGCAAAAAATTAATGAAATAATGGCCCATAACATAGATTCTTAAAAAAATAAAATAAGCACAAATATGGATAATAATACAAAATTAAAAATTGAAACGAAAAAGTCCATCATTTTTTTTTGCATATATATTTATGTACATAAATAAAATTTTACAAAATATGCAAACATAGGTAAATGAATTAGAAATATATATAAAGTATTTATTTAAAGACATAATATTTGATATTTAAAAAGCAAAGCTTATACCTATGGTATATACACAGTTGTGTGCCCGTGTTCCCGTATATCTGTTTATGTCCGTGTGTGTGCGTAAATAATGGCCAGTATCCAAACACACACATATGTAAAAAATAACATATCGGAAAAAACCGACTACGCTAACGCTATCTTTAACTCTATATGTATATATATATGTATATCTATATATATATATATATATAGATATATATAATGCAGAAAATATATTCAAAATATTCAGTTATTAACCTCACTAGATTGTGTGACGATTTCCTTACTATCAGCGGATACATTGTTGTCACATATGCTCAGACTACAAGCAGCGTTATTATTATCCTTATTATTATTATCATCATTATCATCAACATCTTTAACGGTGTCGTCATTCTTGTCTACTTCACATTTTTTTAATAAAACTTCCATAGTTTTCAAATTACTCAATTTCTCTTCATCTCGATTAATATTAAGCATCGTGTCGTTCATGCGATGGTAATGAGCTTTTTGAGAAGTACTAGGTCGAGAATAATCCAAATGATCGTATTCATCTACATTGGAAAGAAGATATTTTTAAAACAAGTTATATGCCAAAAATAGAAGAAAACATAAGAAAACAACGAATACAGTGAGAAAACTATTTACGCCTTCTGAAAGCGTATCCTACAAATTAAACGCCTGAGGATTTCGCACTATATATATTCTGTGAATAATAACACATATAAATTGAAGTCAAATGATATAAAAATGTAAGAGACTGTGTTTTAAAATTCCCAAGCGGGGAAATTTGAAATTTCCCAAATTTGTTGGCAAACAAATCATTAATTAATAGCATTTTGATATACTACATTGATGAGACAAATTTGAATTAATTTGGACGGATCACGCTGATTTTTCAATTAGAACTTTTGATATGAACGGAGGATGTATATATGTCATTATACAAATTTCTTAATTGTTGTGTTCGTTATCAACGTAACAACAGAAGAATAGAAAGACAAAATTCAACCGAATAAAAATATTGCTTGAACTTTATGAAATCTTTTGTGCGTTAAAAATGGGAAAATAAGTCGACATACATTCATCATACGGTAATGGGTATAATAATTAATATATGTGGCTCTAAATCTGCGCATATTTCAATATAATAAACAAAACTAAAATAAAATATGCAAGAAATTACCGGTGTTTAAAGCATAGGAATCAGTAAGTTAAAGAAAAACTTCTAATATTATAATATAGTATGAAGAAGAGAGAAAATTTAGAGTCTATACATAAAATTCAATTGAACTCAAATAGATAGATTACTTAACTATAACTAAGTTACGGTTTGTGCGATTTAGAATCATTTCGTGCATTAAATTAGGTTTGTTCGTCCACGTGATGTCTGCCTATATATTCCTGAGTTCAACCTACAAATTGCAATTTTTTAGATATTTTGACGAAAAATCTTGTACATTGACGTGCTTTGGCCCAAAACTTCGTATTAGCAATAGTTCAGATCGGAACACTTTTTCGACCCCTTCCAGTTCACCACCTTATTTTGATAACTCGTTACATGCGTAATTGTATTCTTCTTACAATTTGTTCATGTTTTGGAAATGTTGTTTAAGATTTGAAACTTTGAATCGACAGTGGAAAAATTATAGTGCGATTTTTTTTTTAACGAAACGATGGTTTTTGATTTTGGCTGCGTGCTGCTTGGAACGTGAGGCTTAACGAAACAACTCTACTGTTTTTGTGAGAACTTTATTTAAGAATTATTATGATCTCGAAATAATTATCGCGTTACGATGGAAGACATCGTAAACAATGGATAAAGCGGAAGTGGTATAAAATATGCATCTATAATTTATACTCATTACTAGATATTAAATTTTCGTCTTATAAAAGTAACAACCAATTAACTAAAATCTTTTACTGCATATAAAGGAATAATAAAGCAAATATAATCAAGTATTAAAACAATAACATAAGTCAACCGAACTCAAATAATTCGAAAGATCCAGAAGAACATACCGAAGAAATAAAGAAAGAAAAATTATACGCACACTGACAATTACAGATATTGATATGATTGATTGCAGTTGGACTCTTACCATCAGGAAATAGAATTTTTTTATAATTTTTGACTGTGTATTTTTTTACAGCGCAATAAAAATGGATGAAGTGTGCAAGAAGACAGTTGAGAAAAGTATTAGAAAAAGAAAGTAGAAAAAATTAGAATATAACCCTACCTGGATCCTTAAGCCCCTCTTTGTGCTTAATCTCATCGTATACGTGTTCCTCTTTTAAACCTTCCAGTGAATTATAGACATTAGGATTTGTTAAATCAGCGTTTAAATTTTTAGCTATCATATCATGATTATAATTAATTGAGTAAAAGCCAGCTGGAAAAATCAAAACAGATCAAAAAAATTTATTAATTTTTTAAATAGTTAAGGAAGAGGAACTTACCTTTGCCGTTGCTGCTGGCATTTGAATCATCAGTGTACAGTTCACTTCCACTACGGTTAAGATTGTTGATCTTTGGTTTTAAATTGTTGAGCAAATGTTGTTCGTCCCCGTTTGGCAGGCCATACACGGGATTATCGAAATTATGGCGATCTGGCCAACCTCGCGTAGGATCGCTTGTATACTGGACGTGAGCAATTTCTGTTTTTAAATTGGATACTCGACGCCGGTAATAGAAAATTACTGCTATAATAACGGCCACAAATAATATGGCTAGAGTTAAGCCCCAGGCTAATCCTGCGCGGCCAGCTTTATATAAAACAAAGCAAGTATAATTAGTTTGGAAGAAAAAAAAAAAAAAAATATATATAAATAAAAATTTAAATATAGTAGAAATTCTTACAGTGCAAATTAGCTTCTTGTATACGTTGTTCAGCGGTAGGAACATCACAATTTTCTCCAGTGAAACCAACACGACATATACATCCTTGCGCAGCATGACAAACGAAATTGGGCGATGGACATGAGCAGGGTAGCATGCAGTGTGGTCCATAAAATCCATCAGGACACACTATGAAATCAAAAAAGGAAATGCTCTCAATAACTTTATTAACGTTTAAAACTTAAAAGTTTTTCATACCTTCTTCACAACGTTGACCCATCCACCCAGGCTGGCAAATACAATGGCCATCATTTTTACGACATTTCGCTTCGTGTAGACAACGGCATTTCTGTATACAGTTTGTACCAAAATAACCTTCTTCACATGATGCATTGCAACTTAAACCATACCAACCTGGCATGCATTGGCAAGCACCTGTTATGTGATTGCACTCACCGCTATTTGCGCAATTACATATTTTGGTACAACCGGAACCGTAATAACTAGTTGGGCAAGGATGTTCACATGTCAAGCCGATATAACCGTCACGACATATAATTTCACCAGTAATATGATGACAGCTTTTGTTGCCTAACGAATGCAAATAAAAGTACGTTAAGCACTATAAAAGTTAATCATTTATCCCAAAGTGTTTATTTACCATGGATGATAACAGGACATTTCTCCTTACAACCCATACCATAGGAGCCCTCATCGCAAGGTTTTGAGCAATCTTCACCGGACCATCCAGGCGAACAGATGCAATGGCCCGTATCAGGGTCACAAGAAGAATTATTTTTACATCTGCAAACTTGATCGCAATTTTCACCATAATAACCAGCTGGACAATTTGTTTCACAATGAACGCCTTCAATTGATTTAAGAAAAAGCAAAAAAAACGAATAACAACGAAAAAAAAAAATCCAAAATTCCACGGAAATACATAGAAAACAAAAACGAAAAGAAAAACAAGTAAGAAAGCTCTACTCTTCTTGAAACAATTTTTATAAATTGCTATCTAGGGTAACTGTTAACTAATTGTGAGTGGATTTGAAAATATATGAAGGTTAGGCATAGACATAGGTAGAAATGTGTACCTAATATACATATATATATATTAGGTTGGGAAAAAAGAAATCCATTATTTTTATAATTTTTAACTTCAGGACTTCATTTAACATGCATATATATACATATATATTATATACATGTATATTAAGTTGAGTTCAATCAATCTTTGGGGAACAACACTTTTAAAAGTACTTCGGGGCATAAGTTGAGGGCGAAGTGACCCTAGCTCATTTTCGAACTAAAACAATGCTTGTGTTAAATTTCAAAATAGAAATATAAACTGTGGAACTGTTATCAAACACATAGGTCGGGCTGATGACACAAATCCAAGACTACCAGTTTCTGCAAAAGCTAATCTCTCTAACACGTATCTTTCCTGCACTGTAGTAACGGTTCACAAGTTTCTATCGTGCTAACTTGCTCGACAGCGCACGAAGGCAAGTTACGAAAATTTCTTCGACGGTCTATTCCTGCTTACGCTAAACATAACGAAAATAATATTACTCTGTATTTGGACATAAATTGATATGATAAAAAAAAATTGAACTTCAAAATAAAAGCGATGAAACTATTAAGTTTGAACAGTAAAACAAAATTAATTTTTTAAACGGATTGTTTCTATATTAAAAATAATAAAAATACTGAAAAAATTATTAGGTAGGAAAAGTCAAATCCCTCTTTATACAAACATAAACGACGTTGTCTAACAGATGACGATGATATCGTATTTGCAACGTAACTGCAGTATAAGTTTATTCAAAATCACGCTCTTTCAAGAAGGCAAGAATGCCAATATATCATAGCGTGCTCAGTTTGTAAAAATGGAATAATTTTTTTTGATAGTGGACTTGTATTCAAATGTATTTAATTTAAACGTAAATATGTAGAATTTTCAAGTTTTTGAACGCTTATTACTACCTATATAGGAAAGTAGGAAGGTTTAGAAACCCTAAGGAGATATTGCAAAAGATTTCCTAAGAAAAAGCTGCTTACAGCTTCATAAGAAAATTGTTTCTTGAGCACTGATGATTTTTTAGAGACTATCTATATATCTTCCGAATCTTGAATTTTTTTGATGATGATATTAATTAATAAATTTCAAAACATGCTGGTAAGAAGAGATTGTGCAGGGAAATATGCAACATTATATAAGTGAGGGTAAGGCGAGAGATAATGAAATAAAATGAGGAATATAAAGTCAGAGACTTGGCCCATACCTCCCCAGCCCTGTTTACAAATACATCTGCCATGAGTACTATCACATGCAATGGTATTATTGAAATCACATTCACACTGTTGTGCGCAATCCAACCCGAATGTGCCAAAATCACATTTGCGTTCGCATTGCGAACCTGTATAACCAGCAGCGCAGGTACAGGCACCATCTGTAGGATTACAGGAAGCATTATTCTGACAATTGCAAGTATCCTTACAATCCTGTCCAAAGGTATTGGGATCGCATGGCCGATCACACCTAGTGTTCTTCCAACCGGGTGTACAAACGCATTGGCCTGTTTCAGGAGCGCAGTAAGCACCATTCTGACAATCGCATTTCTGAGCACAGTCCTGCCCGTAGGAACCATTTTCGCAAGTGTTTTCACAGGTGTCATTATGGTAGCCAGGAGCACAAATGCAGGTGCCATTCACTGGGTTACATTTAGCACCATTCTTACAATTGCAATTGTTCTCGCAATTTGGTCCAAATTTTAAAAACGGACACGGTCTATGGCACAAAATGCCACTCCAGCCGGTTTTGCAAAAGCACCGACCACTACCTGGGTGGCATAATTCAGTATTCTCCATGGCACATTCACAAGTTTGATTACAATAATTTCCGTACTTATCTTCTGTACATATTCGTGTACCGCAGTCCACACCCGTCCAACCGGATAGACAATAACAACTGCCAGTCGCCTTGTCGCAAGGTGCTTCATGTAAACAATGGCACTGGTGAGTGCAATTGACGCCATAAAAATTACTGGGGCATTGATCAAAGCAATGATCACCTAAATAGCCAGGAGGGCATTCACATTTGCCGGTTATGTGATTACATGGTGCCCCTTTAAAACATTCACAGTTTTCTTCACAATTTGCACCATAAGTGCCCAAAGGACATTTGTTGGCACACACTTCTCCCGTCCACCCTGGTGTACACATACATTCGCCGCTTCGAGGATCACATTTGCCATCATTTTGACAACGGCAATCCTGCTCACACTGAACTCCGTGTTTTCCATCAGGACATTGATCTTCACATCTTTTGATATTCAAAACGATTTAATGTGAAAAATACAATATTTCTCGTTCTATGATAGTAACATATAACAAAAAAGAACTTACAATGGTCCCCTAAAGCCTGGAGCACACATACATTCGCCGGATACATGATGACAAGTACCACCATTCTCACAACGACATATTTCTTTGCAGCTAGCCCCATAAAAACCATCCATACAAATATTTTCACATTTCTCGCTTGTATATCCTTTGGCACACTCACATTTGCCGGTATGCGGCTCGCATGTGGCCTTATTATGACAGTCGCATTTCATTTCACATTTGCTACCCCAATAACCAGGTGGGCAGTCTATATAAAATTCAGGTAAATTAGAGCATATAACGCCAGAAATATTTAACACAAAAAACAAAGAAAGTGTTCCCCACACGAAACAATTAACCTTTTAGCATTCGCTTATAACACATCGTGGTCAATTATTCCCAGTCTATTCTATACTATCTTTATGAAAACACCCATATTATTCAGCCTAACATTGCCTAATAAAATTTAAGTTCGTTTCGATCATTTGTTTTTGAGGTACAGGACTTTTAATGGAAATGACTGTTACTGATAAATAAAGTTGACAAGTCTTTTCTTACCTAGAGAATTATTGAGCGACATATTATAAGCGGAGAGAGATGAAAGAACTGGAGAAAGCTAGTATTATGAAAACGAACAGTAATCTTTTCGAATGTGAATGCGCGACTGCGTTGTATGCACTACAATTCGTTTAACAACAAAAGTGTTTTTGAGTTGCATACGAAAAAATGTTTGAAAGCGAGAAACTAAAAACAAGCCGTTTGTTATAAGAAAGTGCAAATCAATATATAAATCAAAATAAATTATTAATATATTAACTACTAGAGATTTGCTTTAAATGCTCATAACTGTTTTAAAATTTAAAAAAAGTCGGTATCGATATAATATTCGAATATTCGCAATGGAATATGAACAATCTTTCTAATTAAACTTAAATCAAAAATATTTAAAAGTTTCATTTTTGAATAAATGAAGGTTTTCCCGTTAATTAAAAACAAAGATTTAAAAAGTAATCAAACCGATAGCTCATGTTAAAAGCGAGACAGAATAAAGACGACATAAAAAATAATTCTTAGGAGCTAAACGTCCTTACCGATATATAATCGACTCAAATATATAATTACTGCTCAAAAAATTGAAATCCAAGATTTTTATATACTTTTTAGATACTTTTGTCAAACGAAACTAAACAGATAAACCAACCACTTTAGTCTTGTATTCTGATTATGTTGAACCATTCAGAGAAATGAAATAATATTACGTGTAAACGAAATAGTAACTAAACGGTTGGTATTTAATCTTATGATATGATCTCAATTTCTTTATCATTTTGAACTACGAAACTAATCATAGTTTTATAAGAAATATTTTTGGCGTGGAAAAGATTATACGAAAATCTACGAAGTCATGAGCACTTAATAAATCAGAAAAGTGAAAACGAAAGAAAAGCAAAGAGCAGAAAGAAAATATATAAAAGTACTGAACAATAAACACGCATGTAAGTACATGCATAAAGGAAGGTTAAATTGAAGGCTTTCAAAAGAAAGGAAATTTAAATAACAGAATTGGCATAGAAAAACGAACTTATGTCACAAGCAGGTCCTCCGTAGCTATGATCGCATTTACATTTATTGGGCGCCAGGCAAACGCCGTGCTGACACTTGGGCGTGCAATCGGGCATGCAAGCATTACCGGCTCGTTTGTATCCCTCTGTATAAAAAATGAGGAAAAACAAAAATTTTTGATAAGCGAAGGTGACTTGAAGGAAAAAATAAAATATTGTATAGATACCCACCGCAACAATCCTTAACAATGCGCGATTTGGTTAAGGTTTGTGTTTTATTAACGACTCGCTCCTTAAAACTATAGGCGGAACAGCGGGGTGGTACCGACAGACACCACGTAGAAGTACGCACCTGATAGCTTTGCAATTCGGTGGTAATAATATCAACGTTATAACTTTAAATAAAATGAAAGTAAAGCCTTTGAAGCACTTAACAATAAGGTATATCGACAAATGATTAAGCTTACTTCTCAACCTTTTTACATATATTCGGACCATCGAGTTCAGATTCAACGTATGTATCACTAGTTTCCGCTTGTATTAATGGAGTGCAGCTGATTAGATAACTGCTACTCAGTAAAGCAAACACTGTTAAGCTAAACATTTTTCTACTGCCTAAGTAAACGGTTAACGGAGAACAGACGTTACGTATACAAATATGAAAAGTTTGATTGTTCCTTTTTTATAGACTTTCAAATAAACTGCTGCTATTGAGCAAAAAAGTAAAAAAATAGTAGTAAATAAACCACTTTTATAAATAAATAAAAATGAAAGCAAATTACATGAAATATGCAATTTGCGTTACGTACCCGTACAAATGAGCATATGCGTGCGTTCGCTGGTATGTATGTTCTTTATTTGAATTTTACTTCCATTTTACTATTACACCCTCCCATATACAAACCCAATTATTCCTTATATTGAGTATTTCTCTTTGTTGTGTAGTTGTCGTTCTCGTTGTTGTTGCAGTATTCTTTATTTTTCTTCTTCCCTTTTGGATTTGTTTACAGTATATTTAACTGGAATATTAACGTCATAATAATATGGGTTGACTATGATGAATCAGTACGTTATTATTATATTTTATATGTCGAATATGTTGATACAATTGTGATTTAAATACACCTACATTTTTACCCTTTGTTTCTTTTAGCTTTAATTTCCTTCGGAGAAATCATCGTTGATCCTTTCAAATTTCATGGCAAGTCAGTTCATGGATACGCTTACATTACACTAACTTCCCATTTGTTCGATATCTGAAACTGAACAAATAATTACACGTATATAATAAAATTTGAACATAATCAACAAATAACAAAATAAGAAGGAAATTATATTCGGTTTGAGCCGAACCTGTTGATACTCATCACCAACGTAAATTAAATATGATATTCGATTACAAGTTAGACCAGATGATATGCCATATATCGTACGATAGATGGTATCAAACTTTTGTTTATATAGACTGAAGGCTGCATTTATATATGATTTCTTGTTTGGAAAGAGGAACGTGCGGGGCAGTCATGATTAAATTGTTCATAAATATGTATACCGTCTCTCAATTGTAGTTATCACCATCCCGCTTTTGTAGGTATAAGTGCTTCATAAGTCGCTTTAGATCAACTCTAGAACACATGCGCATTTGAAGCGTTTCCGTGGTTAATTTCTAACGTAATTTTTGCGTTTTGCTTCCGATGTTATCTCTTATTGATGTGGTGTTCTTGATGGAAACTGTTGTCTGCTTATCTGGTATTATTTTAGCTTTACAGTGATGTGGGTGAGCTTGTAAATAAGCCCTTCTATTTTCAGACTAGGTTTAGGTAATAATCTCCAACATTTATTCAAGTCGAATTGTAGCTGTGAGCGTTCAGCTCAAATTTGTTGACTTTAGTAATTACGACAAAACACTGCAATGAATTGATGCATAATCATCAACACTGCCAGAGTTCCCATTTGGCATAGAAGGAATGAGGAGATTAATATACCATCATCTTTAAATCGTGCTTTAAAATACAAATATTTTTTTTTTATTTCTCGCGAATCGTTCTTTGAAACATGCACTTATTCATTTATTTATTTCAAGGATTCAATACACAAGACTTCCAAGGCCAAATTTAAGTCTATTAAAGTAAATTTCAGTTACACATTGGGAACATATAGTATTTTAATAACAATATATTACCAAAAAATCCAAATTTCAAACGAAATGGTGTAGTAGATGCAGAAGGCAGTCCTACAATGCAACTTAAAATTGAAGTTATAAATCACAACGTAATATAACCCATTTGCACCTTACAAATTACAATTCGACTTCCAAGCCATAAACTAAGAAATTCAATAAATCATAACTGTCATACTATAGACCGTGTCCCATGGTGGTTGCAATTAAAAAAAAAGAAAAGCTAACGACATTGCCACTCCAAATGGTACACATAATGGAACCGAATAGACAAACTTTAATGAGCGCAATGGGATGCCAACCCCTCTTCACAGCTCATCTCATTATCATTCCAACAACAAGGAAGAAGCCCAACCCGAAAAGCACTATTCGAGTGAAAAACTATAGGTAGGCCCGGTGGCAGATAATTCCAGCAACGCGCAACGCGCCCAAGAAAGGACCTCTCAAAACACCTGCATCTACTTAAACATAAGAATCATAGAACATAAATTTAGAGGCAGGCCATACTTAATTACCCTTTTAGAATGCAATAAGCTATGGCACACTGAGAAATGAGCAAAATACATCCCAAAACCGCTTAACATGCTCCGACATATGTGCCCAACCACAAATATTATATATTATAATAACGTTATTATGATAACGTACAACAGAATTCAAAATATGACAAGGCAGAGAAAACATAAGGTGTAGTACCAGCTACCACTTTCAGGTCACAAATTATCTACGTTTGACTAATTCCGGCAGATAAGTACTATTGGATTAAATTGAGCGCAATGTAGTCACTACTTTTCCATAGATGAACTCAATTGTTTGTCAAAGATAAGATGATGATCAACAAATATATCCAGGCACTTATGTAGGTCAACAATCTCTTTTTGGACTCGCCAATGAGGGTATTTAATTGGGGAGAAGACTTATATTTCGACGGGTTTATGAGCAAAGCGCTAACTGAAGACCATTCAAAATCTTATCCAAGATTATAACTGATATTACACTCGAGAATTCTACTCAATTTGTAAATAATTGATTAGTAATTGAGACTGTGCTTACGGAGGATTGGTATTATCCAGAAATCAAGAGTCTGCCAATATGGTTGTCATGTATTCGTTAGACTGGAGATTAAGTGGTGTGTTAAATGACTTTTCCTTATATCAGAGCGGGTCCACCCCGTGAGCTTATGTGGTCCAAATTTAGCGTATTTAATTTTCTGGAAGAAGATTTTATCATACTTCATCATACGCAATAAGTATGTAGAAATTGTAGATTTATTTTTCCGTATATTGTTAAATTGATAATGTTCCATGTTAATTCTGTATTGGTTCAGTCGGTTTTCCCCTTGAATTGAAAGAAAGTGCGTGTTGTGCCTATAACTTAAGCTAAAACTGTCCATTCTATTGATGATTTGAGATCTATTTCAATTTTTCCGGCTATTTCCAAAATTGTAGAACATATTCTCAAAGATCAGATTTTTTCTGCTGTGCTAAGACTTATTTCACCGTCCCAATATGCGTTTCGTCCGGGGCATAGCACCACGAGTCTATAAATAAACTTAGCCGGTACTATTAGAAGTAAGGTGAAAGGTTCTCACATGACGCCCTTGGTAACCGTAACAGATTATCAATGACAGTCTATGACAACTTTTGGAAAGGTGCTTAATTCCCTATTTTTAATGCGGCGAAATCTAAGGCTATGCTTTTTGGGAACGCAAATGGGTTCGGTTCTTCTTGGTGCAACCTATATTGAAATTGTTGACATATATAAGTGCTTAGATATATATATTGATAATAATCTTACCTTTGAAAACCATATTGAATTCATGCATGAGAAAGTTGCGGGTACTTTACGAGCTATTTATTCCAATAGTACCTATTTACCGCAGTGGACTAAATTCCTGGTTCTGCTGGTAACTTTTTAAAAAATTGTAAATTTTATGGTACGCTATGTATATGGTTTTGACGTGGCAGGGAGCATGTGTCTAAGTATGTTAAGTAGTTCTTGAGATGTACTTTCGCAATATTCTCATTATGGCGTAGTCTGCAGCAGTCAAATGTGGCCTGCTTCCCAATCTATGCTCTGAATTTGTTTTTATGAACGCCACTAGGAATCTATAGGTCTCTACAGTTTTGATTAGATGTAGGTGTTTTAATAGATCTTTTTGATATGTGTAGCGCGACGCTGGAACCATTTATCACTGGACTTACGCATTTTTTCGCACTATGATAACACCTTCCAGATTAAGCTATTTAGGTGCATTACCAAAGTTATATAGTGGATAATATGTTATTCGCTTATATTACGGGGGCTGTATTTCCTTATATATTCGATTGTAAGAGTATTTGGTAAGCAGTTAACTAGGGTCTGTTTGCGATTCTCAAAAAAAAAAAAAAATAATAATAAATAAATAAATAAATCAAAAGAAAAAGAAAGAATGCTACCATAACGGGGCTTAGTGCTGAATAATTTTAATCTTATTCTCAAAATTATTTTCTATGGTTTGGAAGCCAAATTGCTTATGTCGAATTCTATAGATAGATATAGATTTTTAAATTGTGAAGTGTCAGCGGTAATTCTTAATTTTTTTTTATAAAGGTAGTTTATGTTATTGGATAAGTGTATTTATTGATTAATACAAGAGATAAGCAGCTTATACACTGCCTTTGTGCTTATTGAACTTTTATAGTGTTATGATGAAGTTTAGAATATTATTGTATCTAGTTTGGAATTTAAACTTTAACGAGCCAGTGCAAATTGTACTGTGTTACCTGTAGTCGCTTCAATGCACTAAATTGGCTCTTGAAGGGCTTCGTACTGTTTTCTGAATACATATAAATATTGAAATGATTAAATTAATTTCTGTTGCTATGTAAAGGTTACTTTTCATTAAATCCTCTATGCCAGACTAAGGTCAAAAAAACAAATCTACGTCTGACAAATTCATGTCTTATGGACCAAAATTTCCACTATAATATATTAAAAATTAGATCATTTTGCGGTGTTAAAACTTACTTTTTATAAGGATGGTCACATGAGGTCAAAACTTATTTTTATACTATCCAAATTTAGCATGCAGATATACTATTAGTTAACAGTTTTTGTTCAAATTTTTATTTTGCAACGACATTTGCAAAATAATGGGAGTAGTTGTAAAGGTAATAGTATCTAGTCTGTTTTCAACAGGACTCATCCTCGAGCAAAAAATTATACTGAACAAATTTAATCAAAATGTCTTCAAAATTGCGATCCGTGGATTAGGCCAAATTCAGAAGACTATTTAAAACCAACCGGTACAAGGGAAGGTGAGGCTACAGAGCATCCGCAGAAGCTTTATATATTGCTTATAACAGGCGGTGGAAGGTATAAATATTACATATCAATTGCCAATTAGTTTTCTAAGTGTTTAATAACTGCTAGGATACTAAAAGTTTGGGTCAATCACAATGAAACGAAAAATGGATATGACAAAGTCAAACTTTAAAAAATCATGAGTAAAATAATAAATTCGTAACCCTCTTTCTTTCACTATAAAGTTGTATTTTTAATAAACTCCATTAAATCAGTTCGGTCTCTCAATAAAAAGCAAAATAATAATTATAAATGGAAAGGGGTTCAATCGATCGTATGAAGGTATCTACTATATGAAGTTTTTTGGTTGATGATTCATATAAAAATTTATGCATACAACTTTGCACATGTAAGATGCGTAAGAGACATTTTGAAAATTTTGAAGGACAACAATCTCTAAATAACTGCACTTCATTCAAAGTGCATTATCGAGAAGTGCGTCTAAGACAGCATACACATTTTATATCCTTAGCATAACAATCTATGGAATGAAAATTTCATTGATATTTGTCAATGGAAGTAGATCTGATCTGCTATCAAATATAGACATATTAGAGCGGTCAATAGACAAAGGAAATGCAAAGATAAAACAATCATAAATTCAAAGAATTTAGGAATAATGAAAATTCTTCTCTTTAGTGAATAAAGACGACGTTTCATAGCCGCCTCCTTTGCTGATTGATTTGCTTGTCGTACTGAGTTTGGTAAAAAAATGATAGAAAACTTTCCACATTTTTA